TATATATATATAATATATATATATATAGGTTACCAGGGTGCATTTTACCGAGTGTAGGATTTACGGTTAAGTGTTTAGTTGCTTGGATGTTTCAGGCGTTTGGGCGGTACGTGTTGCTGCTGAGTTACTTCGTGCCCATAACTCTCCTGGTGCAGCTGGAAGTGAGCCGGTGGTGTCAGGCGAGTTTCTTATCAGCAGACAAGCGAATGAAGAGCAACAACAGCAGCGGCAGCAATAGCAGCAGCAGCAGCGGCGGGGGGGCTGCGGCGCAGTCTGTGGCCCTCATGGATGAGCTCGGCAGTGTAACACATATTTTTTCGGACAAGACGGGAACGCTGACGCAGAACCTGATGCAGTTCAGGTGTCTCGGCATCCAAGACAGGGTGTACGGATACGACGAGTTCGAGGAAGAGGTAAGACAGTAGGGCGTATGCTTTGGAGTTTTCGGTGTTTAGGGATGGAGTTCTGGGGTTTAGCGTTCTATGCTTGCCTAGCGCCCAGCCTTGCAGCTAGGAGTATGGGACTGGGGTTCGTGCGCGCGAGGCTGTAGGATTTGTTGTGCGTTGCTTGCTGTTTGGGTTGCATGCAGAAGTCGTTTGTGATGTCAGAGAGCTGCAGCGACTTTGAGCCCTTGCGCTCTCGGCTTCCGTCGGTTTCTCTTGTGGGGGAGAGCGAGTTTTTGAGGCGAGGCAAGAAGCGTACTGAGGCGCAGGACGATACGAACATCTGCCCCAACGGTCATGTCAACTTCAACCTCAAGAGCTTCCTAAGCGGCGTGGCTGCGGCCTCCCCAGAACACCAACAAAAGGTATGTGCATGCTTGCGCGCATGCAGCGTTGGGGCTGGTTTTTCCAATAAGTTGCAACAAAGAGCGACAGAAATGCTACGCGAACCAGCAAAGACCGAGTTTCTGTTGATGCTGGTTCTGCAGCTGATGCTCCAACGACGACCCCTTCCCGCATCCACACCTCAAGCGTTCACAGGTGATTGGTCATGCTTTGGAGTTTGGGTTTGCGGTGTAGGCTCGGGACGCGTTGCTTGTCTTGGCTTTGTGCCATTCGGTGCTACCCAAGCCATCGGCGCCGCTGCCGGAACCTTTAAACATATGCTGCAACGAAGAACCGGCTGCTGTGCCCGCTGCTCCTGTTGCTGCAGCAGCAACAGCAGCAGCATTCGCTGCTGAGGCTGACGCACCGTCTGTTGCAGCGCCTGCTGCTAAGGCTGCTGATGCTGCTGCTGTACCGAATGCGTACCAGCAGCAGAAGGGGGCAGTGCGAAGAGAGCAGCAGCAGCAGACGCGTGAGCGAGACTCGCTTCAGCCGCCGTTACGCCAACAGCAAAGGCAAATAGAGCAACGAAAGCAGCCCGTGACAATAGAACAGTCGCAGCGAGCGACGCTGGTGGGAGTGACAGCAGAGAGAGATGCAACAACAGAAGGCGATGCAGCAGCAGGAGCAGCAACAGCTGGAGAGGAGAGAACCGTCTCCATTTCTTCTGTTGCTGTGCGTCCTGACTCGGAATGCGGGGAGCAGTTGCCTCTCGCCGCTGCTGCAGATGTTGCTAATGCTGCTGATACTGTTGCTCCTGGCGATGCGGCAACACGAGTTGCTGTCTTCCAATTGCCCGCGCAGGAGCACGGACGGCTCCTCAGCAGCAGCAGCAGCAGCATAAGCCCTAGCAACAGAAGCAACACCAGCAGAAGGTTCGTGGGAGGGGCACGCTGCAGCTACAGCAGCTGCTACAGCGACAGTAGCTGCTACAGCGACAGCAGCTGCAGCAGCAACAGCAGTGAGGAGGAAGGCGGACGCTTCTTTTCGTCAGCAGGCATGGCACCAACAGCTGCAGCTGCAGCAGAAGCAGACAGAGTGTCTTGCAGCAGCAGCAGACAAACGGATGCTCGATATCACCATATTGGAAGCAGCGGAGCAGCACGTAGAGGGTGCAGATTTCAGTATATGAGGAACCCCTCTCTGCACACGGAGGCTCCGGCCTTTCATTGTAATGCTAAACTCTAACCCCTAAACCCTCAATTAAAACCCCCAAGCCATAGAACCATAAGCGCTTACTTCTAAAACCCTAACTGTAGACCTCAAGCGGAGACTGTGTAGCGTCGCCACTGCGCCGGAGCTCAGGCCGCCCACCAACCCTCTACACGGTGCCGCTGTTTTTGGTGCTGCTGCTTTCGATGCTGCTGTTTTCTGTGCTGCTGCTTTTGATGCCACTGGTACTCCTACTGCTTCTGCTGCTGCACGCCCTTTTCTGGTGCCTTTTTGTGACTGCTGATTCTGCTGCAGCAGCTGATGGGGAAGAATCGATGGGTCGAGCGGGGGATCGGCACGGAAATGAGCCTGCAGCAGCGGCGGCAGTTTCATCGTCGCCGGCTCTTAGTGAGCGGTCTGAACAGCCTCAGAAGGCATCGTCATTTCTGCCACAGCAGCATCAGCAGGAGCAGCAGGATGATGAAGGAGGAGTGATGCTGTCGCGGTTTCCCTTGGAGTTGTCTGCCGCTTACGATGCTTCAAGTCCTGATGAGCTAGCATTAACTGCAGCAGCAAAACACTTGGGGGCGGAGTTCATTTGCCGCCCCAACCTGAATACCATTCAGCTGGCTGTCAGGTCCGACTTTGCTGCAGACGCGCTTTTGAGCGAAGCAGATCGGCTCACAGTCCGGACCCTTATGGACGCCTACCAGCAGCAGCACCAGCAGAAACAGGGGGAGCAGCAGCAGCAGCATGGGCAGCAGCAGCAGGAACAGCAGCAGGAGGGAGTGGTGCCGATAGTCAATATTGAGCTGCTGGAGGTGCTGGAGTTCGACAACTACAGAAAACGCATGTCAGTGGTGGTCAAAGACCGCGAGGGACAGCTGCGGCTGCTGATGAAGGGAGCAGACACGAGTGTCTTTGCTGCTGCTGCAGCAGGGCAAGAGGAAGCCATCGCTTTATGCAAATTGCAGCTAAGCGAAATGGCGCAGCGCGGCCTGAGGACGCTTGTCCTTGGCCAAAGATTTGTCACCCAAAGACAGTTCAAAAAGTATCAGGAAAGCAAACACACAACAATTGCTCCCTGACCTCATTCTGCTGCTTCTGCCGTTGTAGCTGTACTAGCTGCTGCAGCTCCACTGTGCTCCCAGGAGCGGTGCAGGGTGTGGCTGATTCACGACATTTTTTTCAGTCTAGAAGGCAGAGCTTCAGGGGTTGGTGTAGGATCTCTTTAGTAGTCCAGGGTTTGGGGCATAGGGTTTGGAGTGTGGTTGCAGGCGGAGTTACTCGCAGCGAAAGACCAAATAGGAGAAAATCGCGAGGCAGCAGTTGCTGCGGTGTTTGCCCGCATGGAACGAAACATCGAAGTGTTAGGTTGCACAGGCATCGATGACAAGTAGGGTCAAGCGTTTAGGGCTTATTTGGCGGTTGGTTGGCGTTGTTTGAGTTCTTGTTTTCTGTTCGTTGCTGCAGTGTTGCAGTCTCTTCTGCATGGTTCTGCTGTGCTTTTTGTGTTGTTGCTGTTGCATACGTTGGTTGCCTATGGGTCGTTTGTTGCCTCTTCTTGTTTGTCTCCGAGGCTGCAAGACGAGGTGGTGGAGACGATAGCGGACGTCAAGGCGGCGGGAGTTAAAGTTTGGGTGTTGACGGGAGACAAGTTGGAGACTGCCATTAGCATCGCCCACAGCTGCAGTTTGCTGACAGATGCGACTTATAATGCAGTCGTAGACGGCAAAAGCCAGGCGGCAGTTAGAGAGCAACTTCACCAATATATGAATTATGTCGTTGCTGCACAACTGGCGGCTGACGCTTTTGAAGCCATCTCCTTCCGATCGGTACGAGTTCCTCCCACGTGTTCTTCGGGTTATTGTTGTTTTTGTCTTGTTGTTTTTGCCTTGTTAATTGCCCTCTGGTTGTTGCTTGTTGTTTGCCGTTTGCTGCTGCTATTTGTTGTTTGTTGTCCGTTGGATGTTTCCTGTTGTTTGCTGTCTAATTGTTGTCGTTTGTTGTTTGTTGTTGCGCTTGTGGTTGTCCTGGCTCCTGTCTTCGCTTTTGTGTGTGTATGTACATGCGTCTGTGGTGTATCTTCGATATATTTTGCAAGTTTGTTTCGGCTGTCGGCAATGTCAACTCCTTTGACTAAGTAGTTAATCGTGGGACACAATTGTCGTAAAATGTTGATTTACTTTGCCCGCATATGAACTGCGTTTTGTGCCGTCTTCAGCTGCAGCAGCAGGCCTCCGACGTTAGCGAGGAGCCGCGCAGCGTCACTCCTGACCAACAGCAGCAACAGCAGCAACAGCAGCAACGGGGGTCGCGGTGCAGCAAGGCTTCAGGGATTTGCTTCAGGGCTCCAGGAACCGGGGCCGACAATACAACAATGCGCAGGCACCGCAAGGCAGAGCCACCCACAATCCCGTGGGATGCATTTGTCAAGATCCTGACATTTAATGCCACCAAAAAGGTTGTAAAAACGGACCCCAAACAGTACGTGTTTAAGCTTTAGGGCTTAGGGCTTGGATTGTGGGGCTTCAGGCTTCCTCTCCAGGGTTAAGGCTTCCGGATTGGGGTTTCAACCCAGCGTTTCACGTCTGTGGCTTGGAGCGTATGACGTCGGGCTTAGGATTTATGGCTTAGGGTTGGGGGTTTTGTGGACAGGCGGCGCAACAAGCGGCTGTCACCCCAGCAGGTCGAAGACATCGTGCAGGAGTATTTGGAGCATTTTGAAAGGGAAAGTGATGAAGGGAAGACACGAGAGCGGAAGGCTCGCAAGACAGCAGCGAGGAGGAAGAGCTTAGGGCGCAGCAAAACCAAAGTCGGTGCAGGGGCCTCCGCAGACAAAGCAGCAGATACAGCAGCAGCGCGGTCGCCTGTTACTGCAGCTGATGCTGCAGACGCGGGAGAAAAAGCACCTGCACTCCGGCATGCCACATCTACAGAAGCAGCAGCTGCAGCAGCAGCAACGCAGACACAGGAGGAGCAGGAGCAGCTGCTCCCATCGCGCTCAAACCCTTCGAGAGGAACATCGGACAGAAGACAACAACCGTCAAGCACCTTCACAGATACTCCCGCAGTCCAGGGCTACCAAGAGTGTGTCGGGGTTTACGGTTTTGGCTTCCCTTTGGCCGAGTTGTCAGAGTGGAGTGATGCACAGAGCTTGGCGTTTAGGGCTACTGGCAGTTCAGGCGTAGTGGGTTGGGTTGTTGGTGTTTAGGCTTCAGGCTTTACGGTTTAGGGTGTAGGGTGTAGTATGGCTTGGTTTGTGTGGGCAGGTGCGCGATAACCATAACGGGGGAAGCCTTGACACATGCGCTGTCCACTGCGGAAAATCGGCGGTATTTCTTCGGTTTGGCCTCGCTGTGCAATACCCTCATTGCCTGTCGTGTGTCACCCAAGCAGAAGTCCGAGGTCGTACACTACTGCCAGAGGTGAGCACGTGAGGGTTCAGGGTTCGTGATCTAGGATATACGGTTTGTAGACGCAGGGGGATACAACTCAAGAAGACGGCCCCTGATTGGGGGCAGTTTAAAGGTGGCGTTGCTGGGCCTCGGTTGTGGTGTTTAGCATTCCTGATGGTTCAGTGGTATAGTTTAGTGGATTGTGGTAGAGTTGGTCAGTTAAGCTAAGCAGCAAGGTTTATTAGTGTCCAAGTGTGGTTATTCATGGGTTTATTATTTTTTTCTATTGTTGAGTAGCAGGGTTTAGTTTTTACACTTTTCGTAACACTAGACCCTAAAAGTTAAGAAAGATGAACTCTCCTAATTAGCCGTCGTGAACAACTCGGCATTTCAACCGTCTTTGAAAGGTGGTAACTAGTGGTCTGTGGCGGCTGAGGGTTGGAATTGGCGTTGCCGTTTGATCTTCTCACGTTAGGGTTTCTTACTGTAGGGTTTACTGGTGAGGCGGATTTGGGTGGGCTGGCAGGGTTGGAAGAATATGGCTTATGAGGGTCTAGGGTTTGTGCAGGTATCAGAGCAACACGGTGTCACTGGGAATCGGAGACGGCGCTAACGACGTTGGAATGTTAATTGCAGCAAATGTTGGAGTTGGGATTCGCGGAAAAGAAGGCCTTCAAGCAGTTCGTGCCGCTGATTTCTCAATTCCCGAATTCAAGTGGGCGGATCCTCTGCTGAACTATGTCGGTTCAACTGTTTTTTTTTTGTGTTATTGTTTGATTTCTTATGCTCTTTTGTTTAACTTATCTGCTCTGACGGTGTTCGCTTCTTTGCCTTTCTTTGCATTTAACGCTGCCTTATTGTGTTGTGTGTAAGATTTCGTCTTCTTTCACCACGTTCTTTCTTGGGATTACCTTTTGTCTGTTTCAGCACTTGTTTGTTCGTTTGCTTGTTGCCATCCTTGGTTGTTTGCATGCAAAATCACCCCAACCAGCCCGTTGTGACACGCGTAAGCCTGTGTTGATTTGCTTCTTGCAATGCAGGTACCTGAAGAACCTCCTCTTCTGTCACGGCGCCGAGGCTCTCCGCCGCAATTCATTTCAAATATACCAGACCATTTGGAAGAATGTTGTATTTGGGCTTGCAGACTTTTTCTATGCCTTTGTGTCGGCCTGGTCAGCCGCAGACCTGTTCAATTCGTGGTTGAAGCAGCTGTTTAATGTGCTTTACACCACGTTGCCGGTCGTCCTCTACTCAATTTTTGACCGCCAACTCCCCATGGAAGTGACGCTCCAAACCCCCGTCCTCTACCCAGCCTTTGCGAGTGAGGCAGCTCCTCAACTGTTAATGCACTCCGTGTATATGTATGCATCTCAGCAGCACAAGCACTAAAGCGGAACCGTCGGAAAGACACCTCTCCGGAGCTGTCGTCAACCGAAGCGAGCCACTAGTTTCGAATGCAATGACATGCTTGTGCACGCCATAAAAAACACACGAGCAAACTAACGGTGTTTCGTATTCCTGTTCTTGGGGAGTTCTTAAATTCGTTTGAACACTACCCTGGGGTTGCCTTTTTGCTTGTTTTCGCAGAGCTTGGGGTTCAGCGTTTTGCAGGCGCTGGCCTGTTTTGGCGTTGGTTTTTGTACGCGTTGTTTACGGCATGTTGTTGCGTTTTTATTCCGCTTTATGGCCTCGGCTGGGGCCTTCAAAACAGCCAAAAAGATGGGCATTTGGCGTTGAGCGTTCGGTTTGAAGGGAGTTGCGTCTTTTGGGTAATAATTATGGTGAGCCATGCTTCCCAGCGTGTTTTCGCGACTCTACCAGCAAGCGTAATGATTTCCCTTTGCCCTGGTGGATTCGTCTGCGCGAGGCGTTCGACAAGAGTGCCTGCTGTAGGAACCATTGTGTCCTTTTGCTTGTTGTTGGCTGTTTGCTGATGAATAGGTCTGCAATCTGATAATCATTCCGTACTTGCACACGTGGTTTTGGTTTATATGGCTAGCTGTATTTGTGGACTTTGGGTTTTGGTTTCTTTCGGCCGGAGTTTGTCCGTTAGTTCCTGGGGACTACTGTCCAGATTTATACGGAGCGCTGCGAGCCACCCATTCCCTCAGCCGGCATTATTTTTCAGCTTTGCTGGCGGTCGTTGTGGTGCTGATGCCTCCTTTTTTAAATTGGTTTTACGTGGTAGGCCAAAATTACGAAAGATTTTTCTCTTCCCTTTGCCGTTAGTTGAAGCAGAAGAAGTAGTGGACGGGCGTTCAAATGATCTGCTGACCAGCTCTCGGTGGTGCTCACACCTCGCTTGCGATTCCCAGGAGAAGTGCCGTGAAATTTAAACTTTTGTTCATGATTGTTTTTAATTATTTTTTGGTGTTCTGTCTTCAGACAATGTTTCGACCTTCCGCTCAATGCATCATCCGCGAACGTATTGCCATGGGAGTGTTTGACGTCGTGGTGGCGCCCAGAGGAAACGCAAAGACGGTCGTAGTGGTGCCGAAAACGCACAGCGAGGAATGGAGAGGATATGCATTTGCCGAGCAGGTGACGCGCTGTTATCCATCTCCCTTCTCACGCGCAGAATGGTGTAGCTTTACACGGAGTGCAACCACTGCAAAAGCCGCCGCAGCAGCAGGGACGTCGGGCGACGCAGTCGTTGCTCTAGGATGCTGTATGAACCATTGTGTTCTTTTGTTTGTTGCTTGCTGTTTGCTGCTGCATAGGACCGCACGCGTCTGGGGCATCATCGACTGTCCATGATGCTCTATGACTATAGCTCTTCAAACTCAGTGAAAGGAGAAACAGTGCAAACTGCTGGTGGTGCTGGTCGCCCCCCGTGCAGGGCGCAGCTCCAAGCAACAAGCTTCCGCCCACGCAGCAGCAGAAGCAGCAGTACGGTGCACCAACAGCAGCAGCAAGTGCAGACGCATGCTGCTGGTGCTGCGCACCGATCAGCTTCTGTTACAACGAATGCAGCAGCAGCGGGCGCGGCAGGGCAGAGCTGAAGCACACGTTTGCCTCCTCCGCAGAGCATTTAGAAGTACAGAAACGGATAAAAAGAAACAAATTCAAATGCAATATAGGAGAAAAACGAGTCATTACACGGGAAATTCAAACTTGCCCAAGCGACTCGTCATTGGGGCTACATATCAGGACGAAACGGCGGAACTGCCAATATCCAATATGCTACTGCTCCTACCACAGCTGCGACATAGATACCTAGACAGCTACCTTGCCGCTTTGCTAGTTACATAACCTTCAGTGACACATGCTACGGCAGTAACTCCGCGTACTTACCGTTAAGTGTTGCGCATGTTATAGTTGGTGGTACATTTATGTTGCTGCCGCATGCAGCAAGTGTTGCTGTTTAGGTTATGCTTGCCATTTTATAGTCCACCTCGGGGACGTTTTTGTGCGTACTGTGCCGCTTATGCCCACCGGTCCGTTGTGTGTACACTGTCGGTGTGTACACATTTGGTGGAGATAGTGCAGCTGTTCGCTGTTTTGTTTACCTTCCGTTCGTGAAATTCAAGCCAAAGTGGCAGAAAATGTAAATGTCGATACCAACAGACGAAATAAGTAGGTGCACGTACACACCGGAAACACCGATTCCCCCAACCCCCCAACCCCCCCTCCTCCACTTCCCGTCTTTTATAGGCATGGTGCCCGTCTGGGGTGCGGCGCAGCAACGGCTGCGTTTGTCAGAGAAAACCTTTTGAATTTCAAATATAAAGGGCAAATAAGGGGCAGAAAGCAACCAGAAACCAAAGGCAATTGGTAGACTCAGTCCTCTCACCGCCTTCTGGTGGGAAAGGGGCACGAGGAAGTACTGGCACAGCACGCGGATTTGAAATGTATAGTGTACATTTGGAAAAATGTATTATTCGGCGTTATTAACAGCCTCTTAATACGTAATTACTTAAAACAGACATTTGAACACTTGTGAAGCAGATTTTCATGCGGCAGCAGCAGCGGTGGCAGCCGTATGTAGCGCAGCGAGTTTCGTTGCATGCACTCACAGAGAGCACCGCATGCACAGGCCAAACATATGAAGTCTTAATTCATTTTCTTTTCTGAGTTTTTGCAACGTGTAGAACCGCCAGTTGCCTACTGCTGCTGCAGACAGTTGAGCCCGAGCTACACCACCACCGCTCCCCGAGCAGCCACAGAAGCTGCAGCGGCGGCTTCAGCAGCTGCATTCTCAGCAACAGCAGAAGCAGAGGCAACAAACGTAAGCAGGACATCGAAGACGCACGTTACATTGCCATTTTGCTCCTCTCAACTGCGCACACTCCAGCTGCACGGGGGGTGTAGCTGCTGCTGCCCTAGCTGCCCATGCTTTTCCACATGCTGCCATGTGCAGCCGTCAAAAAGAGAAATTGAGTCTTGAGACGCAGCAGCTTCAGCAGGGCACTGAAGCTGCCGCTGCTGATGTTCGTGCAATAGCAGCAGTAGCAGCAACAGCAGCAACAGCAAAGCCAGCAGTTCCAACAACAGGTTGAGACAGTAGCAGGGATTGCCCCGATACACCTGCGCAGCCAGCGCTGCTTCAGGCGTGATGGAGGGGCTGCCGATGCTGCTGCAGCAGCTGCAGCAGCAGCAACAACAACACTCGCCTGCGCTAGTGCAGGAGTTGCTGCAGCGTATAAAGCAGCACACAGAACAGCACCAGACGGCGGAACAGTGGCTGCAAGCACTGCAACAGAAGCAACAGCAGCAGCAGCAAAGGCAGTCCTCAATGTCACTAGATCAGCAGGTACTCCATCAGATAATAGACAGACAGGCAGCGCAGATGCACGTGCTGCAGCAGCTGCAACAGCTACAGCAACTACAGCAGCTGCAGCAGCTGCAGCAGCAGGCTCCGGCTGTTCTCCAGCAGCTGCTACAACAAGGTGGCACACCACAAGAGGAACAGGACCAGCTGTTGTGCGCGATCAGCAGCAAAACATTGCTGCTGCAGCAGCTACATCGCCAGCGGCAGCAGCTGGCTACTCAGCTGCAGCAGCAGCAGCAGCAACAGGTTGCAGAGCAGCTGTCAAGTATATTACAGGCAGAGAAGAAGGTGGAACAACAGAAGTTGTCGCTAGAGCGGCAGCAGCTGCTGCTGCATCGCTCCGCAGGAGCAGGAGCAGCCGTTGCTGCTCCACCTTCACCCACAAGCCACATGCGGCAGCAGCTGCTGCAACTGCTGCAGCAGCAACAGCGAGCGGTGGCAGCGGGAGGAGGATCCATAAGCAGCAGCTATCCAGTTTCGTGGAGTACACAACAGCACCAGCAGCAGCAGCTGCTGCACCAGCAGCTGCACCTGCAGCAGCTGCAGCAACAGCAACTGCAGCAACAGCAACTGCAGCAGCTGAGCGGCATCAGGAGCCAAGGGACCGCTGGCGCTGCCGCGGTGAGGAAGCGCAAGCCCCCGCCACGGCGTCAGCGGCAGCAGCAGGTGGTGCAGCAGCAGGAGCAGCAGGGCCAGCTGGTGTACCAGGGGCAGCCGGAGGAAGTGCAGCAGCAAGATGAAGTACAGGACACTGCGAAGGTCTCTTTGTCCAGTGGTGGGGGTCGAGAGCAGCAGCATGAGCAGCAGCAGGAGCAGCAGGACAGGACTGCAGATGGTGCTGCAGACGAAGACAGCAGTAGGAGCAGCAGCGATGAGGAGGGCCGGCGGTTGAAGGCGAAGGAGAGACAGAAGCTGCAGCAGGAGCAGCAAGAAGCGGCTCTGCAGCGTTGTTGTGCCCATGCAGCCTCTGTTGTTCGTTGGCAGAAGATGCGACGAAAGCAAAAGCAGCAGCAGGAGCAGCAGCAGGCAGAGGAGCAGCAGGAGCAGGAGCAGGAGCAGGGCGGGGAACGGGAGAAACGTCGTCGTGTGCATCGACGGTGCAGCCGCAGCGGCAGCGGCAGCGTGAGCGGCAGCAGGAGCAGCAGCAACAACAGCAGGTGCAGCGGCAGCAGCGAGACCGACGGGGAGAGGACAGCAGCAGCAATACAGCAGAAGTTGTATAGACGATTAAAGCAACTGCAAGTTGAAGAAGACTTGAGATATCGAGGCAGAGGACGAAGAGGATTTGTTGCTAAGCAGCAAATGCGGCTTTGCGATAAACTCAATGCCTTTGTTGCCAACAGGTGCATTTTTGTCTCTCTTCCTTCCCCTATGCCGTCCGTTTCTCTTCGTTTTTATTTTACTGCTTTTTATCCACTGCTAAAGTGCAGCAGGCAAAGGATTGGAGTGCTTATTTAGACGAATCGTTGTTACATTTGCCAATTTTTGTATATTGAAGCATGCTTAAATATTTTTCTTGTTTTTCTCCATTGGTGTGCCCAAGCGTATATATAGTAGTGCATATGGCAGTATTCCCTACTACTGTATTGCCTTTGCATCTCTTGCCGCATCTACTTTCGGTTGTCAGCTACGATTTAAACAGGTGATAAAAAACAAAAGAGAAAAAGTGCAATTTCCCCGTCTGCTGCAGGGTGGTGTGCGCCACATGCGCGGATTCGTCTGTTTCTTTTAACAATTCTTTTACCGCCGCTCGCCGTTTTGTTCGCGCTAACCATATGGCGATGTTGGGAGATTTACGAAGGCTTCAAGTCTATCGAAAGGCAATCGACGTCGTTGCAGCTTCTGCTAACTCGGCTCTTGAAGTCGGCTGTGGGCCCCTCTGTGTACTCGGCATCAACGCTGCTAGGGCGGGTACACTTTCTTACGTCTTTCTCCTTTATTCATCTTTAGTTGCTTGTTCTTTTTCTCCTTGTTGTTGCTCTTGCTCATCTTGTTTTTCTTGTTCTTGTTCGGCGTGTTGGAGTTATTTCTCATGGATTCTTAACATCTTAACTTCGCCTGCTCCTCCTGCTTTATCTCCCACCTTTCAACTAGGGGCATAACCCAGTTGTTCTCTACTCTACTGTTTTATCGCCTGTTTATTTGTACTGTCTTTTGCCCATTGTCTACTCCATTTCTGTTCCCTTCTTTTGTATGCAACATCCTGTTTGATCTGACCTCCCGTGTCTCCGTACACGCTTTGTATGCAATTACGTTTTATTTTTTTTTTCATGTCCTCCTTCCTTAACTTACATTTTGTTGCTGCCTTTTTTCTGCATTGGTTGCCTTTGTTGACTGAAATTGCTGCAGGTGCGCAGCACATAACAGCACTAGAGTTGTCTCGCCAGTTTGCTGCTGAGGCTGCCTCTTATGTCCGTCTTTTCGGCTTTGATTCGAAGATTCGCGTTTTGCCTCTCTACTCGAAAGAAGCTGACCTGCCGTTGCTTGCTGCAGAAGCCAGACAGAGAATCAAGCAGCAGCAGCAGCTGCTGCAGCAGGAACAGCAGGACCAGAAGCAACCCCAAAAGCGCCAGAGTGGTGGAAAGAGTGCAACTCCCAAGCCGCGACGGTTCGTGCAGCATGACAGCGGCAGCAGCAACAGTAACGACAATAACGACGACGACAACGACAACAGCAACATCAACGGCAACGGCAGCAGCGATAGCGAAAAGGGTTTCGACTTGTTGATCCATGAGATTATTGGAGACATTTGTAGCAACGAAGGCGTCGCAGATGTTATCCTCGACATACAGAAAAGAACGGGTGGGCCAAACAACCGCTGATACTGCTACTGATGCTGCCGCTGCTTCAAGTTGAAATGGCTGTTGTTGGCTGTAGCAGCAGCAGTTGCTTCAACATTCTCTGTGCATGTGAGAATGTTGAAGCAACTGCTGCTGCTACCAGCTATCAGCAGCCAGCGCTGCTGCACTGGCTGCTGATAATACTGCTAGATAGAACTGCTGAGACTGCTGCTGTAATGCGCGATGCTCCTATTGATGTTGCTGGTGCTGCAGGCCGTGTGTCTCGTTCGATTCCATATGCGGGCCGCACCTGGTTCGCTCCCTGCGAATTCCCTCTGGAGAGGCATCTCCCGTTCCCTCATAGCAAGTAAACTAATTGCTAACGTTGCTGGTGGTGGTGCTGCTGTATTGCTTTCTCGCATGTTCGCGCGTGATGCTGCTTGTCCAGCTTTCGAGTCTGCGTAGCTGGCTAGCTACATCGGTGGCCATCTGGGGGGCCGTCTACGCACCTATCTAGCTCACTGGCAGTCTAGGAATAGCTACGCGGCTAGCTAGCTGGTTGTGAATCTGTCTAGGTTTCCACGTTGCTTTTGGTATGGGTAACTAGCTGCCTAGATAGTTAGCTATCCTGGTAGCTACCTAGCAAGGTGGTTCTCCAGGTAGGTAGCTGGCTAGCTAGCTAGCTAGATGGGCGTGTGGGTGTGCTGGCTGGTCTCAGGTTTCCCATGCGGACTCTTTTATCTCCCCACCGGGTGCTGTTGCAGTCTGTGGGGCTTCGGTTTGGCAGTTTGTTGTTGTCAGAGGACTTTCACATCCTCGAAGAGCTGCTGTTTGAGCGTCCTATGGAGGACCAAATGCTACAAAACAGAGTCGCCACCTTTGCATGCACCCGACCTGGTCCGCCCTACACCTCTGCCTACACAGCTAGCCAAGCGCAACTAGCCAAACGGCAAGCCAGCTTCCTGGCTTACCACCGTCAACTTTCGCTGGATAAAGTGCATGGAATATGCCGAAGTACATGGGAGCGTTGCCTAGCTAGCTAGCTAGTTGACAAGCTAGCTAGTTGCTACGTGTGTCTTTTTTCAGGAAAGTTGGCGGGGTTCGTGCTCTGTTGTGAAATCGAGCTTCTGAAGGGCCTCTCCATCGACCACAGAAAGGGAGAAGAAACACATTGGTACACTGCTCCTGCTGTTGCTGCCGCTGCTGCTTATTGTGCTGCTGTTTTCTGTTCGTTGTGTGTAGCTCCACCTGTTGCTGCTGGACTCTGGTTCCCGCTCTGCAGCAACACCAACAGCAGCAGCAGTATGTTGTGTGGTTTGAATTCTAGGTACACTAACATTGCGTTGCTGCGAGAGGAGGTTTCTGTCAGCGAAGGAGACACATTTGTTGTGTACAGCACAGCTGATTTGGCAAACTACGAGGTAGTACCTGCTGATGCTGCTGCTGCAGAAATAACTGCTGATGCTGCTGCTGCTCTCTGCCTCGGGTGCCTCAGCTGCTGCCGACGAAGCTAGCTAGCTAGGGACCTTGCGGCGATATCGCTAGCTGTTACTTGGGTGTAGCTTGTACTGTTGGGTTCGTGTTTTTGCTGCCTCTTGGGGACTCCTCTTGCAGCTTGCTGTTGCTGCTGCTGCTTCTGCTGCTGCTGCAGACGGTTGATGTGCCAGATTCTTTCTCCCTCAATGAGCTGCCGCAGCTGCAGCCGCTAGCGAACCCCGACAAAGTCCCACACACACCGACGTACAAAAAGCTGCAGCAGCGGCTCCAGCAGCAACAACAACAGCAACAACAACAACAGCAGCAACAGCAGCAACAGAAGCCGGCAGATGAAGAGGAGGCGTGGCGGTACCCCTTTGCTGCTGACGTGCAGCAGCAGCACGAGCAGCAGCAGGAGCAGCAGCAAGCGCCGCCTGGCTGTCGACGCATTCGCCTATCGCGCCCTCGTTTTTCTCTGTCTGCTGAAATCCATAGACTTCCTATTGCTCCTATTAAAGGTTGTTGCTGCAGCAGCAGTAGCAGTACCAGCACTGCAGCAACTAGTGCGACCATCAGTGAAGACAGCAGCAGCAGCAAGGACAGCACCGCTGCAACAGAAACCTCTCTCCCACAGGGGGCGCCAGATACAACTGGAGAAAGCAGCAGCAGCAGCGACGTAAAGGCTGAGCAAAGCAGCTGTAAAATGGTGGCAGATGTACCACCGCCAGCAGCAGCGGGAAAGGGGAGCTGCTGCTGCTGTCAAGACCCCAAGAAGCCGTCGGTACTTCGCCTGGACCCCATCGTTATAACATACGCCGAGCAATCTCCCTTCCTGGCAAAGGATGTGAGATTGCTGCTCTTGCTGCTGCCACTTGCTGCTACTGCTGTTGCTTGCTGCTGTTGCTAGTGCTTCTTTTCCGGTGCGCCGATGTGGACCTTGCTGCTGCTTTTGTCGGATTTCCGCGGCTCTTGCGGCCTCTTCTGGTGGGCTGGCGAGGACTGATATTTCTGCTGTTGCTCGTGTTGCTGTAGGCGAGCCGCCAGCCCCGCAGAGAGGCATGAGCGCCCTTCCCGTTGAGTAGCTCGTGGAGTCTGCAGCAGCACTGTGCTGCTGAGTGCTGCAGCAGCAATCTGCTGCTGCGGCTGCTTCTGGGGCTGTCGCACACACTGCCGAAAGGCGCTAGCTAGCTGGCAAGCTAGTTAGACAGCTGACTTGCTGGCTGGTTGGATAGCTAGCCAAGCGGCTAGCTGGCCGGCAGCCCCGTAGCCTTCACGCCAGATGAACCACTTCAGCTGGCTTGGTGGTCATCTCCCTCCCCTACTGCCTATTGCGAGCTAGCCAACTGGCTGGCTAGCTAGGTAGCTAGCTAGTTAGCCACTTGTCCGGATAGCGGGCAAACGGGCTGGTGTGCTAACTAGCCATCTGGCTAGCTGACATCTCTTGTGGGTGCGGAGCTGCTAGCAGTTATAACGGCAAATGTGTAGAGCGCCGCTGCGTGCTAACTAGCTGTAGACAGCTAGACAGACAGCTAGCTAGACAGACAGCTACCCAGCTGTCCACTCCTTAACTCCGTTTGAATCTTGGCGAGCGAAGAGCCAAAAGCCAATATACAGTCTTGCTCTAGCACAAGTAGCAGCAGCAGCACCAGCTACTGCTACAGTCCAGCCTTGCCATATCATAGCCGGGCATTGCCATGAGGGCGCTAACTAGCTAAATACCTAGCTACTTAGCTAGCGAATAATCAGGCAGCAGCACAAACGGCCGCAGATGACTGCTAGAACATGTGAAGCAGCTACAGAGTCGTGAGCAGCAGCAGCAAAAAGTTATACATAAAACGTTTGCTGCTGCTGCAGTTATAGTTATATATAAAGCGTTCAAAGCTCGAATGGACTCAACCAGGATACTCTCCTACCACTCTGCTGCTGCTGCTGCGGCCTCTGGGGAGGTGCGGTGCTGCGACGCTGCAAAGGTTTTGAGACCTGCAACAACAACGACAGGAAGTTCGCGTGCACCTGCTGCTCCTGCGGCTGCTGCGTGGATCGATACTGCTCCTCGTGGGCTCCGCCGACTTGCTGAGGATGGTGCTGCTCTCGCTGCGTGGATCGATACTGCTCCAGGAGGGCTCCACTAATGTGCTCTTCCTGCTGCTGCTGCTGGTCCAGTGATACAGATCTCGTTGGGTGGGCGACAGTATCTTCTGTTGCCTGCGTGGGAGCCATAGAGGCTGCAGGTGCAGCTGTTATTCTATTGGTCCCTTTTTCTACCTCTCCTACTGCTGCTTCGGTGGGCCCAGCCTCCCCAACTCGTGTAAGTTCTTGAATGCCGGACACATCAGCAGAAGCAGAAGCAGCAGCTGTTTCTCCCGTTTGGGATGCTGTTCTGCTGCCGTCGTGCTTCGAAGGAGCAGCAGAATGCAGCAGCTGTTCAAGAATATCAGCAGCCTTCTGCGGGGAGTCGAGGCCTTCATACGTGAATGACTGGCGCAGCAACTGCGGCAGCAACACCAGGAGCACAACAGCAGCAAGAATTGCAGAAGCAGCTACTGAACGGGGTCCAGCTTCACTAGACAGTACAGACAGTGAAACAAGCACACAGCCAACGGCAGCAGCAGCACGAAAGCAACAGCAGCAGCTGCATCAGCAGCGCAGCAACTCCACAAGCGTACCATTTCTAGGACAACAGAAGAAGGGTGTATCAGCTGCACGGCTGACTCGGCATCTTGCTCCTCCTCAGTGTCAGCAGCAGCAGCAGCAGCAGCAACCCGAAGGGCTTCACGTTCTGCTGCTGCGCATGCTACAATGCTGTTGCATTTTCCAGGACTGCACTCCTGCAGTAGCAGCAGGCGACCTGCTGCTGCTCCTGCTACGCCCGCTGCAGCTGCTGTTGGTGCTGCAGCCGGCAGCAGGTGCTGCAGGCGCGCTGCTGCCATCTTGACTGCTGCAACGCCGCTAAACGCGCAGCTGCAGTGTTTACGCAACTGCTGCAGCACGGGTCCACCTGGTGCATCAGCAGCACCGGCAGCAGCAAACTCCACAGAAGCAGAGCAGATAGAAAACAGCGTCGCTGGACTCCGCGGCAGCTGTTGCTGTTCTCGTTGTTGCTGCTGCTTTTGCCTGATATGCTGCTGCCGCTGTTGGTGTTGCTGTTGTTGTTGCTGTTGCTGTTGTTGTTGTTGTTGTTGTTGTTGTTGTTGTTGTTGTTGTTGTTGTTGTTGTTGTTGTTGTTGTTGTTGTTGCTGCTGCTGCTGCTGAGGATTTTCCTCAACAGCAGCAAGCTGCTGCTGTTGCTGCTGCAGCAACTCCCCGGTCATGCGATGCAACGCCACAGAAGCAACAGCAGCAGCAGCAGCTGTCCGATGATCCCATTCGCCATCATGATCTGTTGCTGCAGCAGAAGCTGCTGCTGCTAGGGGTCCTACTGGGGCTGTTGCTGCTGGGAATGCAAGTGGAATGCACCCTCCTTTACAGCCACTGCCATGGTGCTGCTGCTGCTGCTCTTGCTCCTTCTCCGAAGCAGCAACAGCCCCACATACAAGAGTCGACAGAGTTCTTAGGACAGCAATGGTGTGGCTTGCAGCAGCAGCAGCAGCAGCAGCAGTAAATCGCTGCCCCACAACACACCAAGCAGTTGCCATGCGTCGCTCAGCCAGCAGCAATAGGCAGGGCAAGTCAGCAGCCCTTTGCTGCTGCTGCTCATCCTGCTGCTGCTCGTCGTCCTGCTGCTGCTGCTGGTGTTCATCTCGGTGCTGCTGTTGCTGCTGCTGCTCATCCTGCTGCTGTTGTTGCTGCTTGTGTTGCAGGACCGCCTGCTGTAGCAACACGAGAGCCGCAGCAGCATCACCATCAGCAGCACAGGGCCACAAAACACAGAAGTCCGCGTACGCCGCTGTTCCGAATTCGCACGTGCCCACAACAGGTGGAGCAGCAGCAGCAGCTATTGCTTCTGCTGCTGCTGGTTTCGTCTCTCCTGCAGCCCCAACTTGCTCACCTGAACAACAGCTGTTGGGTGTTGGTTTGTTGGTGGTGCTGCTGCTGGCAGCCGCGCACCTCCGCAACAGAAAGTCGTTGCAATGGAAGTGCAGCGCAGTGGCCTCTGCTGCTGCGCGCTGCAAAGACGACTCCTGCTGCTGCTGCTGGAGTGCAGCTGCGCCAGCAAACGACAGTCCACCTGACAGCAGCAGCAGCCACTGCCGTACGTTGCTGCTGGCCAAAAGCAGCAGCTCTTCGGTGCATGCGCAGCAGCAGCACAACTCGCCGTTGCTGGTACTGCCGCCGTTTGTTTTGCTGCTACTGCACCGCCCCCGTACCCGCTTCCGCAGGGAAACCACCAATTCTTTTGCTGCCGCTTTCTTACGCAGCAGCAGAAGCCATCTCTGTACCCGATCTGCGTATTTCTGCTGGCCCCAGGCTGCTGCTGCTGCAGCTGCAGCTGTCGGGTTCGCATCTGGTGGTGCTGCTGCAGCCACATCGTCCAAAGCGTTGCTGCTGACAGGGTCTGGTGCTGCAGTGACGATGGCGAGCAGCAGCAGCAGCAGCTGAGCAGCAAACATCGGAGTTGTAGCAACAAGAAGTCGCAGCAGTAGCAACAGCAGCCCAGGATGCTGGTGTGGGCTGAAGCAGCAGCAGCAGCACTCAGCTGCAAAGGACAGCAGCAGCAGTTCACTATCGTCCCTCTCCTGCAGCACATGCACAGTTTTTGCTGCTGCAACATCAGCAGCAACAGCAGCAGTCGCCCACTCCACTAGTTGTCGAGCCAAAGCTCCCTCTACCTGACTGTGTTCTTGCTGCTGCTGCTGCTGTTGCTGCTGCTCCGACGCCTCTGCAGAGACATCTTCGGTAGCATCGTCGGCTGCAGGCACCAATAACTTGTCGTTGCGAGAGACACTGCTGCTGCTGCTGCGAGCTGCTGCGGCATCCCACCTGCGCCGCCATGACCCCACAAGCCGCGCAGCGCAGATTGTTGCGTTGGTCTTTCCCTCCTGTCGTTGTTGATGCTGCTGCTGCTTTTGCTGTTGCTGCAGCGAAATAGCAAAAGGACAAAGCGGCGGACGCAAGCGAAGCCTCTTTGGCAGCAGCAGAGGAAACGGCAGATTAGGGTGCGCGCTGTTGCTGCTGCTGCTGTCGCTGCTGCAGGTGAAGACTGCAGCACGCAGCAGCAAATCTGCATGCCCTTGCTGCAGCAAACGAAGCAGCGTCGGCCTCTCCGTTGGCATCGCGACACCAGCAGCAACTGCAGCAAGACTGTGCGCTATCTTGTGCTGCTGCTTCTGCCGGATGGGTTGCGTTGCGATGGTATCGTCGCTTCTTGGTTGGGTGCTGGTACTGCTGTTGCTACTACTGCTGCTACTACTACTACTACTACTACTGCTGCTATTGTAGCAGGAGACGAGGAGACAGCGTAGTTTGTTTTGCTGCGGTTGCCAGTAGTTGAGCAGCAGCTGCTGCAGCGCAGCGGCAGCAGCTTCTCGCAGTTGCTGCAACGGAGGCAGCTCGTGGTGGGTTGCTTCATGCCGCAGCTGCACCCACTCTGCGTCAAGGCCGACTTTTGCTGCAACAGCAGCAACAGCAGCAGCAAATCGGCCGCTTTGTGCTGCATCAACTATGGTGTTAACATGTCGCACCAGCACAAGCCCGTAGGCATGCCGCAACAAGCCGTTGCTGTTGCTGCTGCTGCTGCTGCGCGGGAAGAAAAAGCCGTCGGATAGGAACACCTCCAGCAGCTGCAGCAGCAATTCTGCTGCTGCAGGCAGACGGTTGTCTGCAGCACGGCAAGCCGAGAGAGAAGCCCATGCAAACAGCAAGCGACGACGCAACCCCTCGTCGCTACTGCTGCTGCTGCTGCTGCTGGGAGCAGCCACGGTAGGCCCTTGACTGGGAACAGCAATTTCTGGCAGCGCCGGCGTGAATCTGCTGGAAGGCAAGCAAGCTCTATTGCTGCTGCTGCTGCTGGTTTTCAAGCCACTACTGCTGCAGCAGGCGCAGTTATTACTGTTGCAAATGCTGCTGTTGCTGCTGCACTTCCTACTGCGCTTCAACGGCGGCCATTCCGGAGGAACTTCCGCAGCAACATTGGAAGAGCAACAAGAACGACAGCAGCATAATGACCGTTTGCTGCTGTTGCTGTTGCTGTCACTCTTGCTATAGACATTGCTGCTGAAGGTGTATGTGTTGCTGTTGCTACTACTGCTACCGCTGTTGCTGCGACAGGTGTTGCTAATGCTGCTGCGGCAGGAGCAGCGACATTGAGAGGTGTGGCATTCAAGAATCGATATGGAGATATCTAAAAAGCAACGCCACGAAGCCCAGGGGGTTTGCTGCAGGTTACAGGGGGAAAACCTAGGAAGCTGAGGAGCAACAGAGGTAGCAGCAGAAGATGCTGCTGCGGTTGCTGGTGCTGCTGCAGAGCCTGCTGCTCCACCTGGTGCTCCCTTTGCTGCCCACATGTCCTACTACTTTGAGGAGGACCTAACATTTGCTACACATCTGCATGACTAACTGCAGCAACGGCAGAGCGCCAGCAGCGGCAGCGGCTGCTGCTGCCTGCCTGCTTGTCTCCCTTCTGCTGCGGAAGAATTCCTAGTTTTATCTTAAACGTATTCAAGAGAGATTTAACGTCGATTGCAAACAAATTAAGGATATATTTTGCACCTCCTCTCGGGGCTGCATGCACCGGCTCGAAGCCCCAGCAGCAGCAGCAGAGCAGCACTAGTTTGCGAGTGTCTGTACTATGACAGCTCTATGTGCTGTTTGCTTCAAGGGTATAATTCTCTTCTACTGCTGCAGTTGTGTCCGCTGCTCGTCTCAGCTTTGCTTTGCCCCGGTCCACTATAATAGCTGGCGTGCTACCCCCGCGGTATACTCATACTACTCATTTCTGCTCTCTCGAGAATGCTACGGCTAGTACCTATGGCTACTGCTTCTGCAGGCGCTTCTTCTGCAGCTGGAGCTGTATCGGGCCTCCACGTAGAGTCCCATATATTCCACTTAGTGTCTTCCCTCCGTCGTCTAGGTATAAAATTGACGAGGAGTTCGCTGCTGTTGCTACTGCTAGCGCTTCCCCTCACTCGCGAGTAGCACTGCAGCAGCAAGCGTGCCTTCACCCCAAGCACAAGCATGTAGCTAGACAACAAGCAATCTGGCTAGCTATCATCCGTATTGCTAGACAGCTTGTAAGCTGGCTAGCTGGCCTTCGAGGTAGTTAACTGGCTAGCCGGCGAGGTGCCCGTAATATTGCTAGCTGGCGAAATGGGTACCTACATCGCTAGCTGTTCATGCATGCATGCATGCATGCATAGCTACCCACCTAGCTAGATCGCCAGATCAGGAGCTTCTGGCCTCTATGGTGGAGGGGCCCCCGAAGGGTTGTTAATAGCCGCGTAAGGCGCTGCTGCTGCTGCTGCTTCTGCGTCTAATGCTGGATCTCCATGTGCCGCTGCTCCTGCAGCGGGAGATGCGCCTGCTGTGTTTGTTGCTGCATCCGCACTATTAACGCTTTGTTGTTGCTGCTGCGGTTGCCCCATGCTGTCCGCAACAGTGCTGGCTTGGGTGCTGCTCAGTAGAGCATCTTCTGCTGCAGCTGGGTCGTGCTGCTGCTCCTGCTGTAGGTGTTGCTGCTCGGGAAGTTGCGGCATTATGGGAGCCGCAGTTGCTTCTGGCTGGTGCTGTTGTTGCTGTTGCTGCAGCAACTGGGGGTATTGAGGGGCAGAAAAAACAACAACCATAAGAAGAGCGACCTGTCCTAGAAGCAGCAGCAGCAACAGTAACCTTTTCTTGTGCGGTGCAAGCTGCAGCTGCTGCAGTTGCTGTCGAAGAAAGCGAGCAGCAGCGGCAGCAGCCACACCAGCAGAAAGCCAGCGAATGCTGGTCGCAGCAGCGCTTGGCAGCAGCTGCGTCAGAGACAGCAGCACCACAACGGGAGCAGCAGGTGCTGCTGCATATCCTTGAAGACACAGGAGCTGCACAAGGCTGATGTCCTCGTGCTGCTGCTGCTGCTGCTGCTGTGGCAGTGGAGTGTCTCTGCTGGCGCTACGGTAACGCTGCAGCAGCTGTAGCAGCCAGCAGCACGCAGGAGGTGCAGCAACAGCAGAATACGCTGCAGCACCTGCAAATGTCAGCAGTTTCAGGCCGGCTGCTGCTTCCGCTGCAGCAGCTGCTGCTGCTGTGGGGTCATCTGCAGCTGCACCCTTGGGAGGCAGCAGCAGCAGCGGAAGAGAAGCTGAGATATAAATTAAAATAGCAACTGTTGCCGCAACCCACACTGGGCCATACAAGTCAGGCTGCTGCAGCAGACTAGCCTTTTCGCTGCTGGTGCTGTCGTTGCTGCCGATACCCTTCAGGTGTATAGGCAGCACCGCATGCAGACGCATCATAACTTGTGGCGCATCGACATCAAACAACTGTTGGGCAGCAGCAAGAGGAAAGCAGCTCCACTGCTGCTGACGCTGCTGCTGCTGTCCAGTCGCTGCAGCAGTTTGCTGCTGGTGTCCCCACATAGTGTTTCCTTTTGCTGCTGTATCGAGCTGGCCAACAGCAAACTCCTCGCTCAAGCCGGCTGCAGTGCTGCTGCTGCTGTTGCTGCTGCCATAGGAAGGTGCTGCTGCTGCAAAGCCAGGGGAATCGCTAAGGGACAAAGTCAAGCCCTGTTGCTGCGGCTTGCTGCTGCTGTTGCTGCTGCCGAGTGTCACGCTGGAGAAGACAGGCGCTCCCAACGCGGCTGCCTCCTGTACGCTCCCGCCGCTATATTCAGCACCAGCGGCAGCAGCAGCTGCTGCTGCAGGGATATCGGCAGCAGCATCTTGTGTAGGTCTCTCCCACTGCGTACGCCGTGTGAGTTGGTTGTAATAGTAAGGAATGCCCTCATTTGTCTCATACTGCACCCAAAGGCGAGGTAATGGAGAATCAGAAGCCATCTTCGGCTGCTGCTGCTGCAGCTTGCACTGGCGTTTATGATGCTTGGGCTGCTGCTGCTGCTGGTGACGATGCTCGAGCTTCAGCTGCTACGTGGGCTTGTGTTGCAGCCGCTGCTGCTTTGCTGCTTCTTGTGGGTGGTTGCTGCTACCCCTTGGACTCCTGCTAATTCTGCTTGGGCTGCAGCAACTGCTTCTGTTGCTCTAGCTGCTGCTAATGCTGGTCGGGCTGCAGAAGCTTCTGGTTCTTGGCTTCTGCTGCGGTTGCCCCTTGGCCTGTATAGGTTGCTGGGGCTATGATGCTCCCTGCTGCTGCTAGGGCAGCGGAGACCCCCACTGCTGCTGCTGCTGCTCTTACGGCTGAAGGCGCAGCGTACCTCCTGCGTACAAATAAAGGGTGGCTGACACACTGAAAAATAGAAACAAAGACAGCAGCTGCCGCCAAGGCGTTGCTGCTGGGTCAAGGCAACAACACGAGCACCAGGAGCAACAGCAGGAGCTGCTGCAGCAACAGAACAAACAACCCAGGTGCTCCCACACGATGACCAGCAATGAAGGTATATTATATAATTAACAAATAATTACTCTTATTTCCAGTTGTACTGCGGTTGCTGCGCGTGTAGAGATGCTCTTGTTGTTGGTACTGCTGCTGCTCCGGCGGCGGCGGCGACTCAGCCCCGTTGACACAGCAGCAACGGCAATAGAAGCTGCAGCAACAACGAATACAGCAACGGCTATTAATAGAATATTTTCTAGCTGTAAAGACAGCTGCAGCTTTCTGCTGCAGAACAACAGCAGACACCTGCTAGTTTTATCCCGAACAGCAGCAGCCGCTGCTAATTTACTGGTGTTGCTGCATTCCTGCACGAGGACATATGGACAGCAAAGTGTATATATCTCTCATTGGAGCTGCTGCAACTGCAGCAGCAGCAGCAGGAAGACAGCGAATGCAGCAGCAGTACCAGTGGCTGCAGCACCAGTGGCAGCAGTGATGATTGAAGCAGCAAGGACCCGAGCAGCTTCTAACATCAGCAACGCTAACATCAGCGGCAGCAACAGTGCCTGCCGAATAACCGCAGCAGCAGCAGCAGCCCTTGCTGCTAGCAGATGTGTACAGGGCGACACGTTACGGAAGCTGTGTTCCTAACTGCGCGACAGCAACAACACAAGCAAGAGCAACAGCAGCAGCATCAGGATGGCTGCTGCCGATGGCAGCAGCAGCAGTTGCTGCAGCAAGGGTTTTGGCGTGGGTGCCTCGCATTTGGAGTTGCTGCGAGCTGCTCAGAAGGACGACTTCTACTGTAGGGTATACACACAGCATCTACAGAAGCTGCTGCAGCAGCTGCAGCAGCTTCTTCTGCCTATTCAAGTGCAACCACAGCGGAGGCATAGCATTGGTGTTGCACGCAGCAGCAGCATCAGGAGCAGCAACAGCCGACGGCCGTCCGCAAGCTACCCTAGTTCTGGTAGTGGTAGCAGCAGCGGGAACAGCAACTGCACGAATATCTGCAGCAGCAATAGCAACGGCAGCAGCAGCAGCATTACACCGTGGAGGCGCTGGGTGAGGTACGCCCGTGCTACTGCAGCTAGCTGGTGTTTACTGCTGCAGCAGCAGCAACATGCAGCTCGTTCCCTCGTGCAGATTCTTTATTTTGCTGCTTCTTTGGGAGGCAGCAACCAGCAGTCTCTCGGAGAGGAATATTGTGAACTCAGAACGGTACTTACTGCTGCTGTTGCTGCTGCTGCAACAACGTTGTTGTTGCAGCTGTTATTGCTGCTGGTCTTGTTGCTGGTGCTGTAACTGGTGTTGGTGCTGCTGCAGTTGCTGCAGTTGCTGCTTGCGTTTGTGGCTGCAAGCGAACAGTGCGGTGTTTCCCTCGCTGATGTACTTGCTGCTGCTTCCTTGTTGCTGCCGTTGTCGTTGTTGCTGCTGCTCCTGCAGGTAGGACCCCCCAATTATGGCGGTTGGCGTGGCCGGCTGCTGCTGCTGTGGGCTGCTGTGTTGCGTTCGATTCCTTTTGCTGCTACTGCAGCACTTATCGCAAAGATATGCAGGCATGTCCTGCTGCTGATATGCTGCCGCTGCTTCTCCTTTTGCTGCGTCTGGTGCTGCTCGTGCTACCGCTGTTGCTCCTGTTTCTCGCCTGCCGCTGGCTCTCCCCTTGCTGCTGCCATTTAGCGTAGGGAAGCTGCTGCTCGTGCTCCGACTATGGCAGTTTCTGTCTCTACTCATTACGGGGCTGCTGCTGTAGCTGCTGCTGCTTCAGGAGTTTTGGTTTGTACACTCCAGCTGCAGCAGCAATCGATGATTTTCTAGCCGGTGAGATTTGTATTGCTGGGATGACTGCAGTTCTTGCTGCTGCTGTTGCTGCTCTCGTTGCATCTCGCCCGACTGCTGCTGTGTGATACCTGCTGATGTTGCTGCGTGATACCTGCTGCTGCTGCTGTGTAATACCTCCTGCTGCTGCTCCCGCCGCCAAGTCCCTCGTAGCTGCTGCTGCATGACATCTGCTGCTGCTGCGGTTTGGATGCGCCTGCAGTGTTGCGCCGATTTCACTTGGCTTTGTTCTTCTGGGACGGGCAATTCCTCCATTTCTCCCAGAGGTACGCTGCTGCTGTTCGCTGTTGCGGTTGCTGGTTCCTGGGTTGCTGCTGTTGCTGATGCTGCACTGTGTACTGTATATGGGTTGCTACTGTGTCTTAACCCGTCTACTGTTAGCGCTGTTGCTGTTGATGTTGCTGCTGCTGGTCAAGGTGGGCCGTCATTGTTTTGTGGGTTTCTTATTCTGTTCAAGCGGATGCTGTGCTCCTACGGTTGCATCTTGTGCTGCTGCAGGTTGCTGCAGAGACGATTGTTTCGGCTGTACGGCGGCATTTCGTCTCGTGCTGCTGCATCTTACTTGCGGGGTTTTGCTGCAGTACTGCTGTTGCAGGGCCTGCTAGTTGGACATTCGCTTCTTGTCGTGTTGAAAAGGCAGAGAGCCAGGCGGCAAGTCGACAAAGCATCTTCTGCTGATGCAAGCGACAGCAGCACCAGCACGGAAGAGAAAACAGCAGGTCCAGGGGGATCGGAGAAGCCCGGCAGCAGCACCAGCAGCACACTGGTGTGTCTGTTCTGTCAGAGTTACTGCTGCGTTCCAACTGCTGCTGCATGCGGGCATATCTTTTGCTGGTCTTGTATTAGCCGGTGGTGCCTGCAGCAGCAGCAGGAGCAGCAGCAGCATCAGCAACAGACGCCTACATGCCCCGTGTGTCGGTAAGCCGCAGCCACGTAGCAGCAGCAGACAGGTGTTGCTCAACAGAGAAGGTAAATGGAACAGAGTGATAGATGCCTTGCGGGCTTCATTTCTGTTGTTGTGGTTGCCGCTGCTGCTGCAGGGCTGCCTGCCCGCCGCAACACCTGCTGCCTCTTCGCCACTATGAAAGTTCCGAGGACCTGCTGCTACAGTACAACTTGCAGCAGCAGCAACAGGAACAGCAACAGGAGCATCAGTAGAGCAGAGTATTGATATGTTCGACTCAGCAGCACACGCAGCAGCAAGTGCCACACGAAGACCAGGAACCTGGAACCCCCCTTTTTGAGGGGCATCGTGCCTTCCGATGTTGCCGCTGGCGCTGTTTCTATTAGGTGCTGTCTTGGCTGCGGGTACCCTTGTTTTTTTTGCAGCACCAACTTATTGTATTTTAGGAGCAGCCTGTAGCTGCCGCTGCTGCTGCATTTACTACTACTGCTGCTGCTGTTGGTTGCTGCCCCGTGTGAAGCTGCGGAGCTGCCGCAGCTCCTGTTTGCTGCGGTTGCGGCAGAAGCGTGCATTCCCTACCGTTATAACTCTGTCTGTCAAAAAGAGTGACATGGGGTTTAGTGCAGCTAGGTGGAGCTAGCTGGGGCTGGGTGTAACATTGGTGGGGCCTGGTTACTTATACAGCTGGCGCGTTTGTCCGTAGAATCACTCTGGCTGCTGTCAGCTGTCTCTCTTCAGTGCTGCCTTTTCTCTTGCTGCCGCCGCAGCTGCAGCAGCATCACATGGCAGCACCTGCTGGTAGGCGTGCTGCTGTAACTGTTGGCCTATTTCGATTGTGCTGCTGGGGTTGTGTTTGCACACTGTGGAGGATAACTTGGGCTAAGGCAAAACTTCTTCTTTGTTGCTCTTTTTTCTGATGGAATCTGCCCCTGCTGCTTCCGCTGTAGGGACAGGGTGAGCAAGGGAACAGCAGGGAAAACAGACACAAGACATAAACATAGAATACAGAGACAGGCAAACGGTGTGCTCGTGGGTGAGGGTGTTTACTCAAGTGTATATCAAGACACAGAGAAGCAGCTGCAGCTGCAGCTGCGCAAAATACTGCAGTAGCACCAGCGGCGGCAGCAGCAGCTGCTGCAGCAGCAGGATTTGCTGCCGGAGCAGCAGCAGCAGTTGATACTGGTGCTCTACACACAATCTTACGAGTCTTACTTAAAAATTACGGTGTTTGTTTTATTCTGCTGCCCTGAAGGGCAAAACGCTGCAGCACAGTAGCAGCAGCAAACACACATACGAATGCAGCAGAAGTTACTGCCACCACCAGTGCTCCTGATGCAGATGCTGCTGCTCTTGTGGTTGCTTCTGGTGTAACTGTAGTTGCTGCTGCGCAACCTTTTTAAAAATGGTTTCAATATATTTAGACCAATATTACTAAATTAAAAATAATGGGTAATAGCAGTTGTCTAGCGGACACTACACCATACTGCAGCCTGCTGCTGTGGTTGCTGCATGCGCATGCTGACCGGCTGCTGTTGCGGCTGCTGCTGCTGCTGTTTCAGCTGCTGTTGCCGCTGTTGCTGCTGCTAAGAAGAGAGAAGAAGCAGAATTTCTCTGCTCAAGACATACATCATTGGCCTGGCGGCTGCCTGCTGCTGCCTTCACCTTGGCTGCTGCTGCAGCTCTCTGTGTAGAGTAGCGGCACCACCGTCTGCCGCTGCCAGAACTGCAGCAGCAGCTGCAGCAGCTGCTGCTGCAGCAACTGCAGCAAAGGCAAGCCACTTGGCCTGAGGACTCTCCCGTTGCAGTGCTAGTGGAACCCATTTGCGGAGATATGGGGCATACACAGGACGGCGCGCTGCCAGAGCACGAGCTGCAGCAACAAGAGCAGCAGCAGCCCGAGCAGCAGCAACAGAAGAAGAAAGAGGAACAGCAACCAGAGGAGCAGAAGCAGCATCAACAAGCCGATGCCGCATCGTCCAGCGATCGCAGCCCTTGCGATCACATTGCGCAGACCGAGCTGCAGCTACAGCAGCAACAGGAGAAACAGCAGCAAGAGCAGCAGGAGCAGCAGCAGGGTGACCTTACTGCAGCCGAGCTGCAATGCAGGAATGACAAGCTGCTGCTGCAGCAGAACTCTCTCCTCGACTCCCTTACCTCAGAAAGGATATCCAGATTAGCCGCAGAACGCCAGGCACTAGCTGCAGCAGCAACAGCAACTGTTGCTGAGGGGAAGGCGCAGCTGCTGCAGCGGAGGCTTGAGGCTGCCGAGGCCGCGCAGCAGCTACTACAGCAGCAGCTGGAGGACACGCAGGAGAAACAGCAACAACTCGAGCAGCAGCTGCAACAAGCCACCAGGGACGCCACTGCAGCAAAGGCCGCAGAGCAACAGCAAAAGGAGCAGCAGCAGCAGCAGCAGCAAGAGCAACAGCAAAAATATGATGAATTGCACGTAGGTATCCTCTCATAGGTGCAGTGTAGCACGCTCCCTCCAGCTAGAGCTGCAGGAGGTACTGATGGCAGCTGGTGATACTTTGTGTGCCTCTGCTTCTGTTACAGAACTTGCTGCAGCAGCTGCAGCGGAAGTACGCGTGCTTGCAGCAGCAGCAGGAACTGGATGCTGCTGCTGCTGCAGAGAAGCAGCGCCTGCAGCAGGAACTGCTTGATATGAGAGAGGGTCTGCTGCAGCAGAAGGATACCGTTGCTGCAGCACAACAGCAAGTAATAGAGGAGCTGCAGCAACAAAAGGAGCAACTATTGCAGGAGGTGAGCTGAAGTTGCTGTTGCTGTGGGAGGAGAAAAGTCAAAATGCCAGGCCGTTGCTGCTGATGCTGCTGTTGATGCTGCTGTTGCTGCTGAGGTTTCAGGCAGAAGCACGAGAGGCTGAACTGAAGCAGGCTCGTGCAGATGCAGCAGCAGCAGAAGCATCAGCAACACCGAGCACAGGTGTAGACAAGAAGCAACGGCAGCACGAGCAGCAGCATCAACCTGGCATGACTGAAGAGGAGGCGAAACTGCAGCTACAGAAGATATGCGAGCAGCAGCAGCAGCAGCAGCCTGCAGACCTTGCAATTAAGCTGCTGATGGACCTCGATGCTAAGTCCCACCAGGTGTGGTTTGCTGCTGCTGCTGCCGCTGTTGCTACTCTTAGTGCAGGTGGTGTGGCTAGTGCTCCTGCTGCTGCTAATATTGTTTTTCTTGTTTGCTGCTGCTGTTTGTAATCCCCTCGTCACGACGGTGATCCTGTCTGTGAATGTTCGCTGCTGCTGCTGCAGTGCAACGTGCTAAGGGAACAGATGCAACAGCAGCAGCAGGAAGCTGATTCTTGGAGGGCGGCGGCCCAGCAGTTGCAGCAGCAACAGTTGATGCTTCAGCAGCAACTGCAGCAACAGCAGACCGAGCTGCAGCAGCAGCTGCAGCAGCAGGCGGAGCAGGAATCCCGCATACAGCAGCTGCTGCAACAGAACAAGAAGAAGAGTCTGCAGGTTCAGCTCTTAGAGAGCGAGGTGGGACAGGGACTCCACCTGCTGCTGCTGTTGTTGCTGGTTCTGTTGTTTCTGTTGAAGCTTCTGCTACAACCGCTGCTGCTGCTGCTGCTCTAGGCGCTGCACCAACACCACGGTACCTTCAGCAGAGGCGAGTCATGCTGCTGCTGTTCCTACTGCTCATGCTGCTGCTGATTGTGATTTGCTTGCTGCAGTATCGAGAGAAGGATGAAGAGGCCAGGCGGTACATACACCGCAACGACGAGTTGCTGCAGCAAGTTGCTGCTGCTGCTTGGGAGCTGCAACGGTTGCGGCATGAGCAACAGCAGGGCGTAACGGTAGCAACGGCAACAAGCAGCAACGAGCAGCAGAGTGCTGCTGCGACACTTCTAGACTACCAGAAGCTCTTGGGGCATTCTAAGTATGTGTGAAACTGTTGTTGCTGTTGCTGCTGCTGGTGCTGTTTTCTGCTGTGCCGCTGGTGCTGCTGCCATTTTCCTGGTGGCTACACGTGTGCATATGCTTGTGTTTTGCTGCAGCAAGCTGAAGCTGCAGCTGCTGCAGTTGGCGGAGCACCGGGAAGCTGCAGAGAAGCAGCAGCAGCAACAGCAGCAACAGGAGCAACTCCAGCTGCAGCACGAGCTGCGGGAATTGCAGCAGCAACTGCAGCAAGTGCAGGCGGATCGCAAAGAGCTTGCTGCTGCAGTGGAGAGGTTGCTGCAACAGCGGCAACAGCTGCAGCAGCAATTGGAGGAGCTGCGAGAGGGTAATACCCAGGAGCAGCAACCGAAGGCAGCAGAGCAGCAGTCGGTAACGGCACAAGACCACCAGCAGCAGCAAGCCAAGATTGCGCAGCGCCTGGAAGATGCTGAGGATAAGATGAGACGTTTTGTCACACAGGTCTGTTGTGGCTATTGCTGCTGCTGTTTTTGCTGCTTCTGCTGCTATTTCTACGGGTACTACATGGGTATCTGTTGCTGCAATTGCTTTCTCCTGTGCTGCTGCTGCAGATGCAAGAAGTCGCTGCCACTTTGTGCCTGGAGCAGCAGCAGAGCAGCAAGCTGCTGATGGAAAAGCAGCAGCAGCAGCAGCAGCTGGTAGAGCAGAAAGCGACGGCGGATTTCTTCCGCAGCGAATGCACGCGCCTGCAGCAGCAGCTGCAGCAGCAGCAGTTGCAACTGCAACAGAGCACCAGCAGGGCAGCGATAGCGGAGCAGCGGAGCAGACAACTCGAGGGGGAGGCCCAGGCTATGCGAGACGACATGCATGCGTTGAAGCAACAGCAGCAGCAGCAGCAGCGGGAAAACAACCAGCAGCAGCAAGCATTGCACTCCAAGGAGTTGCTGTTGGTCGAGCTGCAACAGCAGCTCCAGCAACAGCAACAGCGAGCCACTGCAGCAGACATGCAGCACGAGGAGCGTTGCGCCTCCCTCCAAGTGCAGCTGCAGCTGCAGCAGCAGCAGAACGCCACACTGCTGCAGCAACACAAACAGGACACGCAGCAGCTTCAGCAGCAGCTGGGAAACCTCAGCGATGTCTTGAGAGAAAGGGAGTCGCAGCACGCGGAAGCAAGGGCAGCAGCAGCAGCAGCGAAGGAAGAGCTGCAGCAGCTCAAGCCAAATGTTGAGTAAGTTCAGCTGCAACAAAGACAGAAACAGCAGCACTAGCGTGCTGCCGCCAGTATAGTCGACTGCGTGTCCTGTGCTGTTTTGCTGCTGCTGCTGCAGGCAGCTGCAGCAGCAAACGCTTGAACTGAGGGTTCGCCTAGAGGAAAAGGAGAAGATAATATGGCTGCTGCAGCAGCGGACTTCTGCTGCTGCTGCCGCGGCAGACAGCAGCAACAGCAACCGTCCAAGTGCTTCTGCAGCCGGCACTGCAGCGAAGCCTGCTGCGTCTGAAGCTGCAGCGGAAACGGAGACATCTGCGAATGAGCAGCAGCAGCTGCAGCAGCTACAGCAGCAGCTGCAACAACTTCGGGATGAACTCGAGAGCTGCAAGGCCTTGAAGCAGCATTGGCAGCAAGCTGCTGTAGAGGCGCAGCAGCAGCAGCAGCGCACCAACGAGCAGCACCAGCTGCTGCAGAAACAGCTGCAGGAGAAGGCAGAAAGTATAAGCCAGCTCGAAGAAAAACATCAGCAAGCGGAGTCGCTCCTCAACGACAAGGCAAGTGTTTTGCCTCCGCAGTGGCTGCTGTTGCTACTGCTGCTGTTGTGTGGCTGCTGCTTTTGCTGCTGTTTCTTTAGCTGGTGACCCTGCTTTGTTTGCGTTATTGTTGCTGCTTCTGTCGTATTTGGATTGTACAGACGCTGCAGATAGGGCAGTTGGAGGCGGCAATCAATGCACTGAAGGAGCAGCAGCAGCAGCAGCAGGACGCTGCTGCGAGCGCAGCAGCAGCAGCAGCGACGACGGACAGTTTGCGCCAGCAGCTGCAGCACCTGGAGAGTGAGCTGGAGAGGGAGAAGAAAGCAGCAGCAGCAGCAGAGGAGAGATACAGAAGGGAGGTTGACGCCCGCGCAGCAGACATGCAGCAGCTGGAGAGGGCAGAGAAGCAGCAGCAGCAGCAACAGCAGCAACTCCTGGCTCTCGAGAAGGACCTAAACGAAACAAGAGCGGAACTCAAAACCACACGGTCCGCTGAGGGATATTTTAGGGTGTGGGGTTTAGGGTTTAGGGCTTCTGTTCTCTGATTTCGAGTGCCTACAGGCCCACACAGGTCTAGGAATTGGGCCTTTAGGGTTTAGTGTTCGTGGTTTCGTTTGTGTATGCAGTTCTGCTGCTGAGGAGGAGAGTCTGTCGCTGCTCCGGAGCAACGCGAGTCTTTTGAGGGATGTGGAAAGGCTGCGGACAGAGACGAAGTCCTTGCATGCACAGATCAAAGAGATGTAATTCTGGGGTTTAGGGTTTTGGGTCTAAGGTTTGGACGAATATACAAAAAATAAATTAGATAATAAGTAAGCATATGAAATTAAATTGTTACTTATGTTGCGTGTTTCATTGTGTCTGTCTGCGCAGCTCGAGCGCTGCTGCGCCTTCCGACAGCAGCAACAGCAGCAACAGCAACAGCAAGGACCGTCAGCCGCAGGAGCGTTTGCTGCATGCACGCTTAGAGGAATCTCTGTTGCTGCGAGCAGCAGCAGAAGAGGAGCTTAGAGCGGCACGGCTGCAGCAAGTGCAGCAGGAGGCGCAGCTAAAACAGCTGAAGCATTCTATAGAGGACCTTAAAGCTGCTGCTGAGAGAGACAGCAGGCAAAACGAATTGCTGCAGCGGCAGCTGCAGCTTGCTTCTACCAAGGAACAACTTCTCTCCAGGGTCCCCTCTTTGGAGCTTGCTGCAGCACAACTCAATGCCGTCAGTCGCACCAGCAACTAGAGCAACGGCGGCACTAACAACAAACTTAATTTGGTCGCTTTTTTTGCGTCCCTTTTTCCCGTCTTTGTTTGTCTCTTTTACCAGTCTTTTTCCGTCTCTTTTTCTGTCTTGCTCCTTTTGTTTCCCTCCCTCTTCATAAGTGACTAGCTACTCTACTCTTTACACAATGCGTGCACCTGCAGCAGCACAAGAAACACCAGCTGCTGCTGCTTCACCAGCTGCTGTGTTGCCACCTCAGCTACAAATGGTAGTTTCATTTGCTGCTTTGCCTGTCTCTGTGTCTGCTGCAGGAGTTGAGGACCGCCCACGAAAGGCTGCAGCAGCAGCAAAAGCAGCTTCAGGAGATGCAGCAGCAGCAGCAGCCGTTGCAGCTGCGCGTCCGGCAGCTCGAAGCAGCACTGGAGGAGCAGCAGCGTCAGCATAACGCAGCAGAGCAGCAGGCAACAGAGTGGAAGAATAATTACCACAACGTTCTTAAACGATTTGAAGGGGTAGCTGCTGTTGCTGCCGTTGTTGCTATTACTGTTGCTGCTGTTGCTGCCGTTGTTGCTATTACTGTTGCTGCTGTTGCTTTCTTTTGCAGTTGCGGCCACTGGGCGTTTCTCTGTTGCTGGTACGTGCCGGAGCGCCACCAGTACTTACACTGGTCCTCTTGTTGCTGCGTTTACCGTTGCTGCTGCTGCTGCAGGTGGATAGGGGAGAGCTGGAGCAGCTGCGCCAGGAGAAGAGTCGATTTGCTCAGCGGATGCAGCATCTTCTGTCTGAGAGGCAGAGGGAAACTGCCGCTCTCAAGGTAGCTGCTGCTGCTGCATTGGCTGCTGATGCTTCTGTTACACTCGCTCCAGTTGTTTCTGCTGCTGCTGCCACCTTGCCTGGGTTCCTTCTGTCGTTCCTGATGGCGGCCTTTTGCTGCTGCTGTTGCTTCTGCGTCTGCAGGAGAGTGAAGTCAAGAGGACGGAGCTGGAGAGTACTGTTTCAAAACTGCAACAGGACATGAGTAGCAGCACTTTGGAAAAGCAGCAACTGCAGCAGCAAGTGCATCAGCTGCAGCAACAGCAACAGCAGGCCCGGCAACTGGAGCAGCAGACAACGGCAACCAAGCAGCAGTTGCAGCAGGTACAGGAGGAGCTGCTGCGCGAGAGGAAGTCAAATGAGATGCTGCGGTCTCGCTTAGGGCAGCAGCAGAATGGAGGAGTAGTAGGAGGAGCGGCACTGACACCCGAAGTTGCTGCTGCCGTGGGTCGTGTTGTCCGCGTTGGAGTTGTGTCTTGTGCTGCAGCACAGCAGGCACTCAATGTTGTTAAGACGGCGGCAGCAGCAGCACATGAAGAAGGCAAGAAGCAGGCCCTTAAGGATGCTGCTGCTGCTGCTGCACACCAGGAAATAACCATGCTGCAGCAGCAAAAGCAGCAACAAGATAAAGAACTCTCGGGAGTTAGGCAGCTGCTGCAGCAGCAAACCGAAGAGAACCATGTGCTTCAAAAGCAACTCTCCGACCAGCAGCTTCTGCTGCAGCAGCAAGCGGCTGCAGCGGAGCTGGAGCAGCACAACTTGCTGTCACAGCTGCGTAGGACCCAGGATGACCTTAGAACCTCTCAGCAGACGCAGCAGCAGCAGTTGCTGCTGCTGCAGCAACTTCAGCAGCGTCCCCAGAAAATTATGCAGGAGCAAGGCTCCGAAGATGCTTCTGTGCTGCTGCTCCTACAGCAAGATGAGCAGCAGCAGGAGCCGCCAACCGCCGCCGTGTCAAAGCGCACCATGCACGAGCAGAGGCTGCTGCAGCAACAGCAGAGACCCGGCAAAGTCCTGAAACGGGAACATGCAGGTGATGTGGGTGTTGCTGCTGCTGCACGAGAAGCAACAGCAGTTGCCGCTGCACAAGAACAACAGAACGCAGCGCAAGACGACCATCAACAGCAGCAGCAAGATAGTGAAACTGCAGATGATTTGCCGCATCAGCAGCAGCAGCAGCAGGAGCAGCAAGAAGCCGAGGAGGAGCAGCCCGAGGAGCAGCAACAGGACGAGGACGAGCAGCAGCAGCAGCAGCAGCAGCAGCAAGAAGACGAAGAAATGCAAGAGGAGGAACAACTGCAAGAGTCGGACTTGCACTCGTCTAACACCTCACAGGGGCTAAATGAGGAAATTTCCGCAGCCGAAAGTGCTGCAGAGGAGCAGCAAGAGTCCCAAGAACTGCTGCATGAGCAGCAACAGCAACAGCAGCAGCAGCAAGAGCAACCGCACCAGCAGGAGGAGGATCACCAGGAACAGCCAGAGGAGGAGGAGGAGGAGGAAGAGGAGGAGGAGGACCAACAGCAGGATGAAGAACAACAGCACGAGGAGCAACAGCAGCCTGAAGAGCAGCAACAGCATGAAGAGCAACAGCAATCCGAAGATCAGCAACAGCCCGAAGAACAGCAACAACACGAGGTGCTGCAGCATCAAGAGGAGCAGCAGCAGCAAGAAGAGCACCAGCAGCCAGAGGAACAGCAGCAACCCGAAGCGCAGCAGCAACATGAAGAGCTGCAGCAGCCCGAAGAGCAGCAGACAGGAGAGTCTCCTCAGCTTGAAGATGGCAGTACGGAGTCATCGCAGCCGCAGCAGGAGCAACAGCAGGAGCAACAACAGCAAGAGCAGCAACAGCAGGAGCAGCAACAGCAAGAGCAGCAACAGCAAGAGCAGCAACAGCAAGAGCAGCAACAGCAAGAGCAGCAACAGCAAGAGGAGGAGGAGCAACAGGGGGAGGAGCAGCAAGACGTCTACTCACTTATGGATGAAGACGAACAGCAGCACCACCAGCAGCAGCAGCAGCAGCAGCAGCAGGACTCAGAGCCCACAACAGGGCAGGCTCCCTCAACTCCATCGGAGCCTGCAATAGCTGAGGAGCAGCAGCAGCAGCAACCTGCTGGGGAAGAAGGGCCGGAAGAGCTCACTATTGAGTCGGCTCCTGCAGCAACATGGAACTGAAGGATATATGTGTTTTAATGCCCCCAGGTGCTGCTGCAAGAAGAGCAGCAGCAACTGCTGTTGCAGCAACAGTAGCAGCACCTGCTGCTACAGCCACAGTAGCAGCACGTCCAGCTGCAGCAACAGTAGGAGCACCTGCTGCTGCAGTGTGGAAATTAGAACAAAACCTGCAATGCGCGAGCTGCACCAGCAACCAGAACAGGTATGCCGGCTGCTGCTCGAACTGCATTTTACTTGTCTACGTTGCCTACTATAGGTTTTGGAGAGGTTGTGATCTGTGCAGCAACAACAGCAGCCGCTGGTGCTGAGCCCCCAGCTGTTCAGATGAGCTGCATAGCTACAGTTAGACATTACATTGCAGCAGAACCAGCAACAGCTGCAACAGGAACAGCAGCAGAACAGGCAGCAGCAGCAGTAGAGCAGCCTAGACAACTGCGCATTAGAAAAGTGTGTGGCTGTCAAAGAGGAATGCATGCAGTCCTTGCAACAGGTGGTGCAGCTAGAATACTAACGATAGCAGTAGCAATTATTATAATTTCATTGGAAATTATATTCCGTCACTATTAGTGCTCGGACTGCAAGTTTCCTGCAGCATCACTTGATTCCTTTGGGTTTATACAGACAGATAGAGTGTCTGCAGGCTTTCGCTTACGAATAGAAATCTCCACCTACATATTGTATATACACATGTATATATGTATGTATGTGTATATTGAATGATATATTGTGTAAAATATGTATATATAGTATATATGTATGGATTATGGATGAACTCTGCGTTAACTAGGAACTGCAAGATACACAAAAAGGATCAATTACTCCCCGAGCAGCACGTCGGCGCCCTAGGAACAGAATTGCTAAATTAAAGCTGCAAAAAATGAAATTATTTGAAATCTTAAATGGAATGTAGTTTCATGTATCTAAAACTATTTATTTCTTTTTTTCCGTGTGTTGCCTCCCAATCGAGCTCAGGTCACCTCCCCCCGGTCCCGGTTAATGGCTGCCGCCTACTGATCAGTCTTCCCCGGTTCTTTCGGTTTATTGTTCGTTTATTTTACCAATTTAATTGTAGTTTGAACTCTACAGAGAAAAAAGGCTAAAAGAAAACACCCCAAGCTGTGCATTTGTATCACAAGCCTATGCTCACGGCGGCTCGGACCCCTGCTCTGGCGCCGATCGCCACTGCTCTTGCTGTTACTATTGCTGCTGCTGTTGCTGCTGCAATGTAAAGAATACCATTAGAGGGTTTTTGAAAATGTACTAAACGTGGAGATTCAAAGACACATTTTACTTAGGACTAGAGAATGGTGTGATGTAGGTTATTAAAGAAGCTTCTCAGCCCTACTGAAGTGGCAAAGGGCGCTTTAGATAAAAAGCCAAAACATTAGACGAAAAGGGATACATAGTATAGAAGAAATGGAAGCCAGCAGCTCCAATGCAACTCTTAATTTAACTCACACAGAACTTGATACGGAAGAAAGGGAGGAAGGCTCCGCAGCAGCAAACGTAGAAGCGAGACCTCTTCTTGCTGGCGTTGCTTCTGCAGGAGAGTTCTCAGCCGCCGGTCTAGAGCACTTGGAAAATGAGCAGCGAGCAGCAACAGCAGCTGCTGAAGAGAATGAATTGGGGGAAGTAGCAGAAGGAACAGATTCTGCTTCTGGTGCTGCTGTTCCTTCTGCAGAGTACGGTGTAGATGGGGAGAGAGGGGTTCCACCAGAAGCTGGTGGGGCTGCTGCTGCTGCTGTAGCAGGAGCTTGTACAGCAGATGCTGACGCTTCAGGACTGCCTACAACTGCCGATGCTGGATTTACTGCTTCAGCAGCAGCTGCTGCAACGGAAGCAGCAGCAACGGCGGCAGCACATGCGGCGGCAGGAGCAGCAGCCAAAGTAGCATCAGAAGCGACAGGACTACCATTGGCAGAAACAGAGGCAGCAGTTGATCGGACAACGGTGGCGGCAACAGTTGAAGCAGAGCACGCAGGAGCAGAATTAGAGAAAGCGGCGGCCCCTGAGGAAGTGATTGCAGAAACAGCAGCAGTAACAGCACAAGCAACAGCACAAGCAACGGCACAAGCAACGGCACAAGCAACAGCACAAGCGACAGCAGAGGCAGCAGCGCAAGCGACAGCAGAGGCAGCAGCGCAAGCGACAGCAGAAACAGCGGCACACGCGACAGCAGAAGCAGCAGCACAAGCGACAGCAGAGGCAGCAGCACAAGCTACAGCAGAAGCAGCAGCAGAAGCTGCAGCGGTACAAGCGATAGAAGCAACAGGAGCCGAAGCAGAAGCGTTAGCCACAGAAAATCATGCCACCAGATATGCAACAAGCTCAGAAGTAAAAGCAGCACCAGCTATTGCTACTACTACCGCAGCTGAATGGCACGAGTCAGGTTTACCAGCCGAGGGTGCGGCTGGTGTTGATACTGTCACTGCTGTTGCAGCTGCTTCTGCTGCTTCTGCTGTTGCAGCTGCTGCGTTGGGCCAAGCACCAAGCGAAGCAGAAACAGCAGCAGCAGCAGCAGCAGACGGTGCAGGCGCAGAGATGGAAATTCAAACACATACGGGGGATGAGAAGGAACAGCAGCAGCAGCCAGTGCAGCAGCAAATCCAGCAGCAGCACTCCCTTGATGCACAGAAGCAAATGGCACCGATGAAAGTGCTTCAAGAAAACGAGACCCAACAGCAACACCAGCAGGAGCAACAGCAGGAGCAGCACCACCAGCAGACAGGCGAGGAGAAGCAACTCCAGCAGCGCCATACAGAACATCTGCATTACTTGCCACAGCAGCAACAGTTACATGAGCATGAGCAGCATGAGCAACAACGGCAGCATCAGCAGCAGCAGCAGCATGAAGAAACATTTTCTTCAGGAGACGAAACCATTGACATTTCTCGGGTCGAAGCTCAGTTGAAAGAAAAACAGAAAAAACAGCAAAAGGATTACAGCAAACTCTGGAGAATTTTCGGGAGGCAAACAGACGCAGGTAGCTACTGCTTCTACTGGTACTTCTGCTGCTGACCTTGATACTGGTGCTGCTGCTGCGGTTGCTGATATTGCTGCTGCTGTTGTTTGTGTTGGTGTTTTTGGAGATACCCTTGCAGAAGACGCCACGCACCCTTGTTGTTTTTGCTCTGTCTGCCGCCTTTTCATCCTTTGCTTTTCATGCTGCTCCAGGAAGGAAACTAATGCAACGTACTTGCTGTCGTTGTTGCTGCTGCTGCAGGCCGCTTGCTGTTTCAGCTATACGCGCGGACGGACCCGCGCGGATCGTCAGAGACCTCCAGAATCGTTGCTATTAATGTAAGTTGCTGCTGTTGCTGATGGTTCTGGGTTCGTGTTACAATATAGCAGCCTGCTGGTGGTGCTGCATTTTCATTTTGCGTTGGAAAGCACTGCTGCCGCTGCTGCTTCATTTCAGCCTCATACGAAGGGCCGCAACGGAGGAGCGACGCCTCTGTTGCTGCTGCCTCAAGATTCCGTAGGAGCAGCAGAAGCAGCAGCCGCCGAAGCGCGGAGGGCCAAGGGGAAGGCAAGCTTCAGGCAGCGGCTTGTGAATGTGCCGGTTGTGGGGCGGAAGCCTCGTGCTGCAGCAGAAGCAGCAGGAACAGCAACACCACACAACAGCAACAGTAATTCTGGTGGTACTGCTTCTACTAGCAGCAGCGTTCGAAGGCGGCCTTTGCGCAAGACCCTACAACAGATAATAGAAGAGACGCGGCGCACCGAGACAGTTGCTCAGCAAGAGCGGTTGCAGCAGCAGCTGCGGCGGCAGCTGATGCTGCAGCACAGCGAAAGCCTTGACAGGGAGCAGCAAAAGGATGAGTTATCTCGTTCTTTCCAGCTAGCGGAGTGTTCTGCTTTGCCGCCTAAGGCTAGGCTTCCATCTCTTACTTCTTTGGAGAAAAAACAACTCCTCTTCTTGTCGTAAGACCAACACGGCAGCTAGCTAGCTCGCTGAGAAGCTAGCTAGCCAGCTGCCAAGCTAGGCAGCAAACGGCTCAACTAGCTAGCGGAGCTGGCGGGTGGCTAGCTAGTTATTCCACTGCTAGCAGCTGTTAGCATCTAGCTATCCAGCTAGCTATACGCCTAGCTAGCTGTCTTGCTTCCAGGGGCCGCAGCAGCCACTGCAGCTGTGACCAGTAGCTACTCGCAGGAATCCCCCACCAGCTAAATGGCTAGCGACAAAACAGCTACAGCTAGCTGGCTAGCCAGGAAGCAGGTAGCCAACGCACCCCTCAGCTAGTTAACTGTCTGCCTTCCTGACGCACACCCACCTAGGTGGCTATCTAGCTAGCTACTAGGTGGTGGTAACAAGAATGGCTAGACAGGGGCAATATCTGTGGAATCCCGAACAACTGCTTCGGATGCTGCTGGTGGTCCTGCAGCTGCTCATGCTGCTCCTGTCAGTCTGTTAGCAGAAGCAGATCCAGGAACCAGTTTTCTGCTGGTGTTGCCACTCAACCTGCTGCCTGAGCTTGCGGACTGCACGGCAGCGCTGGGCAAGATTGTCCTATTGTGCTTCCAGACCCTAAACAATGACCCCTAAATGCTCCGCATTGATTGTTCGAATTTAAACCGCATCGGTTTGCAGACAAAATTCCCAGCAAGTATTATCATACACAGGGGTACACGGTTGTTTGGGCCTGGGCACTCGCTTGGATTGCTCCCAGCAAGCACTTTAATGAGAAATCCATCCCTACCTGTAGCTCATATATAGAATATAGAAAACAACACGAATCTAACATCCACAATTGATCCAGTGTGCATGACGAGCGATTTGGACGCATGTCAGGCGACGTCAACATACTTGTGGCTCGGCCAACCAACAACCATCACACCTCGTCACTCATAGTGTGCAATATGAATGTAACCGAAATTTCATGAAGTGAGGATCTTAATGCAAAACCCAATCCCACGCCATCCATATCTACCATTTACAATCCCACTTCATACACATATGAGTCTACCATACATAATTCGGGAGTGACGAGGGATATGGACACGTTAAGAAGACAACACCAATCCCAGGTACACGTATTCTAGCTGGGCGAAGTACCAAGAAAATCCACACCTGGTCACTCAGTGTGCAGTATGAAGTGCAGTGAGTGGGACTAACGAGGGATTTGGAGACTTTAATGCAAGGAAATTCCCAGGTTGTGCATAGGTCTGGCTCGGCGAACCAGCAACAATTTTTACACACCGTCAATCATAGTGTGCAGTATGATAATATAATCATAATAATATATGTATTTTACATATAATGCATATAAAATATAGATAACGCCTTTGGAAGAATCTACCTTCCTGTCTTCAAATCCTCGTCAGTCTCACTTAAAAGAGTGATCCATGAGAGTGACGTATTGAAGCCAATTGGCTGCATATACGAATCTAGCATCGACAATTCGTTCTATGGGAGTGACGAGGGATTTGCAGATCTTAGTGACGAGGGATTTGGATTCCTTAAGAGTGCCATGCCAATCTCGTATGAGCTTTTGCGAGGGATTTTGCAGACCTTAAATGCAACGGCAATCCCACGTCATGCATACGTATGGCCAACCACCAATCATGGCCACACCTCGTCAGTCCTAGTGTGCAATATGTAGTAGAATGCAATATTAAAACGTACTTATAAACACCTGACCCACTAAGGATTCAAGTTTCACGAATTCAAATTATTGCAATTAATTCTTTAATTCAATTAGCCAATAATTCAATTAGCCAAAATTCAGAAATTGCCATTTCTCGTGGCTTTTTTGCCCCCCATCGCAACGCCGGTCAAGATCTGTGCTCTGCTCCTGTTGTAGTTGCACGCCGTACAAACCACTTTGCCCGCTGTCCCCTCTACTTAAGAGTCGTAAAACGTTGGTCTTTTTTATGTCTCCCGTTATTTTTTAAGTTAATAATTCAAAAAAATGTAATTAAGAAGTGTAGATTAATATAATTTATATTATTAATATACACAACATAAGAGGCATTACTCGATTCAATGCATGAGAGTGACGAGGGATTTGGCCACCTTATAGCGACAACAACCCATACGTATGGCACATAACAGGCGCAGGCAGATGTAGTCCATCACTCATTATGTATTAAAATAAACAAAAAAACATAAAAATATTAAAAAAAACAAAATGTAATTATTTTTATAATGTTATTTGTTTTTTGTAACTCTTTAAAAAAAAAAAAATTACGTATTCTCCGTAATGGGCTAAGTTACGTACTCTCACTGCTCCCTAAACCGGTGGAATATCCCTGTCGTTAGGTATGCATACCGTGTATTGTCCGCGTCCGTCTACATCAGGTAGTGAGTAATACATTATTTAAAAACAAAAAAACATAAAAATATTAAAAAAACAAAAACATTAATAAAAATATTAAAATAAACAAAAAACACTGAGAATTTTTTTTTTTTTTAATACATGAGAGGCATTACCCGATTCAATGCATGAGAGTGACGAGGGATTTGGCCACCTTATAGGGACAGCAATCCATACGTATGGCCAACCACCAACCAAGGCCACAACACCTCGTCACTCTTAGTGCACAGTATGTAAATAAATATAAAAATACACAAATATAAAATAAAATGTAGATAACACCTGAGCACGAATCAAACATCATTCCTTTATTAAGAGTGACGAGGGAAACGGGAATCCCATGTCATCCGTATACGAGTTAGACCGAACAATCCATTCTATGAGAGTGACTGAGTGACGAGGGATGTTGAGACTATATAATAATTATATTCATATACACAATAAAGTATAAATACAGTGGTAGTATCCATACACATGATGTCTGTCATTCATGGAGTTGGGCAATACACAACAGGCGGACGCACATGAGTAGTCCCCTCACATGCGCAAGCACATGAGTAGTCCACTCCTTATGCATTAAAATAAACA